CATTTTTTTTTTTTTATGTAAACTGAGGGAGCAAAAGCAGTATCAGCTCCAAATATCGGCTCAAGAACATCGGCAGTCCATAATCGGTCATCGGCTAAGGGTGATGGAAAAAAATCGGTATCGGCATCAGCCCTAAAAAATCCATATCGGTCTATCCCTAGTCTCTACTGGTGTAACTGGCAGCTGGGCTGAGAAAGATGATGACTGCCAGTGGCGAGGATAACGTTACAGGACTCTGCCTCTTGCAGTATTCCCACGTATAACTTTGGGTGTTTTCACACCTGTAGTTGGGTTCATTTGGCCAAGACACGTAAACATGAAGTTCTACCGACTGACAGGTAACTGGTTGATTGGACAGTATTTGTATTTGTCATCCTGCATCACAGGCGTCAGCTAATGCTTCTCAGGTGTTTATATTTCTGTTCTTTGCTTTCACAAAGAGCTCATAGAGAAATAACTGATTGCACGCATTATTAGGAGGCTGTTATTAGACTGCAGATCAATGTCACGTCATGAATGACTAACACGGAGACAGGATGAAAAGAAGGCGCCTTGTCGGGTAATGACTCAGGGCTTAATACTGTCGGATCACTGTCACACACTTTAATGGACTTAATGAACAGAGTACACAGAGTCAGATACAATGATGGCAGTTTTAACAGCTTCAAACTATTGGTGAGTTGGTTTGTGTACAAACACACAGAGCTGTCCATAAAGAGGCCGTGTGTCACAAACTACAGTAAAACCCCCAAATGATACACATGTTCTGGATGTGCTGTAAACACGTCCAAAGAATGCGCCTTGACCTGAATAATACCGGCATGAAATCACAATGTAAAACTGTCATCTAACTTTAGTCTCTATGGTTGCTGTAACATACCCTGATGATATCTAGGCCAAAACGTCCATTCAATTTGTCTCCAAATAAAACCAAACCCCCCCCCCCCCAGTAAAACCTGAAGGCTGTCGAGTCACTGAAACAAAAACCCAATCAGAATGAAAGTGATGCAGGTCTTAAGTGCTGCAGCTTTGAACTTCACTTCTCTTTGGCCAGCAGCCATCAGATAAGACTTTTTATCTGGAGTCTTTGTTGATTCTAGTCTCGGAGCGATGTGCCTGCTCGGCTCGATTCGGCTTCTAAAAACACGAGCAGAGAGCCTGCTGCATGCTGGGCGATCTCTATCTGTGTCCCTGTGTCTGATGGCCAAAGCCTCCTTTCTGTCACTTCTCATTTACGACCGTGTGACTGCTTTTTGTTTCATTCTCAGTCAAGTGCTGACTTCCACTGGGCTCCTCACCTCCTGTTGGGGCTTAGATTTCCCTCATTTTTACACACTTGACTCAGCAGCTGGTGTAACAGCCCTCTCCACTGGAGGACTCTGACTGAGAGGGAGTCAAGTAGCTCAAATAGGCTCCTTCAGCTCTCAGTGGGTACACAGATACAGGAGCTTCAACAGGATACTAGATTCAGTTCAGTACTTTACTTTTTCACCACAAATTAAGCTTCATTTTCTGGTAAATCTAAGTTATATACTCCGGTCCAGGGATTGAAGAAGTGTTCAGAACCTTAACTGGAGCAAAAGTAGTGATATAATAACGTAAAACAAGTTCTCTTCTTTGTTTTCTGTTTGTTTGTTTTTTTCAGTTTTGGACTGAGAGATTTGAAGCTGCTTTTCAACTCCGCAAAATGATAACAGGCATTTTTAACTGTTTTGCAACATTTTATGGACAAAACACTTTAAGTAACAGCGTGTCACATTCATGGGGATTGTTCAGGAGGTTTTTACCAGGAGCTGAATTATCCACAGAGGTCTCACGCTCTCTAAAATAAACTGACACGGTGATTTAAACTGGTGAAAACACTGAATGAAGCAGTTGAGTCTCACGGTACAAATCAGTGTTTCTCAACATGGTTCTGCATGTCGGAGACAAGCCGTAAGTCTGCACCTGCCAATGTGTGCTCACCTTTTTTCTCTGATAACTTAAGTTCCAGACGTTCAGGACAGTTTTTGACCAGGAACTGAATTATCCACAGAAGTCTCTCCCTCTCTGAACCTGTTAATGTAAACCAGTAAAATCACTGAATGAAGTAGTTTCAGGTTAAAATCAGCATTTCTCCGTCACTGCTTGGCACAACAGGGGCTGGAGCCGAGCTAGTTAGCAGTCGTAACTAAAAGATATAAAAAGTGTATTGTAAAAATGTGGCTTAAAACTGGATAAAAAGTCAATTTATGACAGCATTTTTGCAGACAACAAAAACCCTGATGCATGCAGACCGGAGATATGAATCCAGTGACTGGTGGCAGTGACCGAATGACATGGACTGTGTCCTCGTTTAAAATCATCCCTCGTCTCTCACTCCGAAGTCATCAAAAACCTGCGCTTGGTAAGTGACTTCCTGTGTCAGACACTGACGACAAAAGCCGTCCTTTCATGTCAGCATGACATGTGACCGGCTGCCATTATTGTTTAACAGTGCCCGACAGAGGCCGGTGTTCCCGAAAGATTGTAAAGCCAAAATCTGTTCTAAAAATCCAATCAAGTGCATGTGTTGCTGGAGGAAAAAAATGCCAATTTGCAGTGTTGTACCGACGTAGTGCTTTTATTTTGAAAGAGACTGTATGCAAACTGTACATTTCCTGTGAAAACAGAAGTGTATTTTGAAAGAAGACAATGCATGTAACAGGCTGAAGTTGACACGGCGTCCCAGAACGTCAACAACCAACACACCCAGGGTACCTTGGACGCCATATGTGGACGTGGAAAGTCCATGACCAAACGTGGACATGTGACGAGGTCACAGTGAGGATGAGTTGTTAAAATTATAGATTCCTCTGGGTTTTTAAGCACAAAAGTCAACAAAATATAAGTCTATAAGTCTAAATATAAGTCTCTTCGTCTCCAAAACAAACAGACGCTGTAATTTAAACCAGTAAAAACACTGAATTAAGCAGTTTCACTGTGTTTTCCTGATGCTCTCGTTGAGGATGAGCTTCTAACTGTGAATGCCCACCGAAAACATGAATGTCCAGATTTTAGAGCCAGTGTTTGGTTTGTCCGTTCTGGGCTACTGTAGAAACATGCTACCTATGTAGATATTAACAACTCATTCTAAGGTAACGAAAACACAATGATTCTTATTTTCAGGCGATTAAACACTAAAGAAGACGTACTTTACTCCTTCTGACTTACAGGTTTCCACATCTATGGGAGATGTTTTTCACGTCTTATAAGAAAATTAAACTAAATATTGTAGACAGTACATATTTCCCTCTGCAGTGTGATGAAGCAGAAGCATAAAGCAGCACACATTAAAGTACTAAAGTGAAGTACAACTACTGCAGTAAATGTACACACACACACACACACACACACACAAACAAACACATACATCCTACAGGTGGCTGTGTATCAGTCACTCCATTATCATCACAGGAGCAGCACTACCGTTTGAGGAGACACAATGCAGCCAGGAAAACAACAATCTCAACACACACACACACACACACACACACACACACACACACACACACACACACACACGCAGGGCAGGAAACAGCAGTCCCACTCACAGATTGTACAGCAGAGGGGGGGTTGAACTCCATAACAGGAAAGGCCGGGACAATTGGGGGACGTTTGCTCACAGCAGAGACACTGACAGGCAGACAGGGACGCTGTCTTCAGGTTTATTTGGAGGAGAGGGACAGCTCAGCCATCCCTCTGTTCACCTGAGGACACTTTTCTTTGACTGGACTCATCATTCAATTTCACCGGATCACAAATCGTGAAGCAAAGGATGCTTTCTGAAAATGTTCGTACCAGCAGCTCCCGTATGTCGTGACCACTGTTCATATAGTCATGAAAATAGAACTCATGACAGCTGCAGTCATTCTTGATTAAGTAAAGTAAAGGACCCCTGATGATGACAAATCATCTCAAACACCACAAGGAATATTTCACTGACCACAAAAACTCTCTCAAGGACTCCTGGAACCACCAAAACTTCTACCTGGAGCCCTGTAATGTTTTCAGTGATACATAAACTCTTGCAAAAACTCCTGGAAACTTCTAATGACCAAGAACCCTTGAAACATGTTTAATGACCACAAAAACTACTGGAGCTCCATTAATAATCCCAAAAGACTCCACAAAACCCCCTGGAACCTTTAAATGACCAAAATTCATGCCAAAAAACCCTGTTAATAACTTCAAAAAATCTTTCAGTGACTCAGGAATCTTTACAATGACCACAAAATCCACTACAAGGACCCTGAAAGCTTCTCAGTGACCACCAAAACCTCTACACGGAGTCCCGTAACGTCCTCAGTGACTCCTTAACTTTTGCAAAAACCCCTGGAAATGTTTAATGACGACCAAAACCCGACAAGAACCCTTGAAACATGTTGAACAACCACCAAAAAACACCTACAACAACTACTGGAACTCCATCAATGATCCCAAAATATCCTGCATAAAACCCAGTGGAACCTTTAAATGACCAAAAGTCCTTCAAAAAACCTGCTTACTAACTTCAACAAATCCTTCAATGACCACAAAATCTGCTTCATGGACCCTGGAAACTCCTCAGTGACACACACAGCTGAGTTTTCTTTTCACATGTTTTAATAATTTCAAGTTAAAATGAGTTTAATTTAAATGTGAGACCAGTTTGATGCTCAAAATGAGATAATCATGAAGGATGTGATCACCTGTTGCTTCACACTGACTTTAATACTCAGCTTGGTGAAAATCAATCAGCAGGTGTGGATGATCTGAGTGAAATTAAATTAGATTTTAGAGCTGCTTTTCAACACCAAGCTCATCAGTGCAAAGAATAATAAAGCCTGAAACAGTCCACAACATTTCAGTCCCCAAACTTTCAGCCACACTGATGAACTTAAACCAAAGTACTGAACTTTCTCTCCCAGCCACAGTCTCATTCATCCAGCAGCAGTGCGCGGCAGCACAAACTTTTCACAATAAAACTTTGTGAAACTCACCGAGCAGAAGTTTGAGTCTGGATCTTGTGGGTTTCTCAGTTATTCCACTTCAGCTGATAAAGCAGGACGGATCGTGGCCGTGATGGCGCAGTGTCGGCTCACCTGCTGGCTCCACACGTTATAAACAAAGTGGACACATGTGGGCTGAGCTGAGACACTCCTGCAGCCTCCTCCTGCAGCCTCCTCCTGCAGTCACACCGTCCCTCCGCTGCCTGCTGATGCCTTCACGGACCGCTCGGAAGATTTCACTGAAGGGTGGTTTGAGATCTGACCACAGTGCTGAGTAACACTCCGGGATATGGAGGTTCAAGAGTGACTTTATTAAAATGATATTGTTGTAATTCCACAACTGCGTTTAACTCTCCACACATGCAGGGTAACTCCCAGCTGACCAATATATGCCACTAAATCTCCTCTCAGCATGTATTGACTGGCTGTGCTGTAGTGAATTAACTATTCATTTGAATTGTTGCCTTCTTGAGATTTATTCAGCACAGGTGGCATTAGAGGAACTGCAGTTTTTGGCACCGTGTTGGCTTCATTTTTCAGCGCCGGAGGATGACGCTCGAATGAAAGCAGCATAAATAAATAATATAGTCATTTATGTTTATGCCATGTTTTATACCTAATGAATATAATGCAGCTCAAAGTGATTTACATCAGAATGTACGAAGCTGAAGTTAACTTCCGATTCGGCACTTAAGGAGAAAGTTAAGGGGAAATTGACTTAATGTGCAGTGCGACTGTTTGTCTGTTTTTTGTGACACTTCTTGATGTGAAAACATTTTAGACATTTTAGGTAAGACATTAACTTTGCCTGACACCCACTATTGCATTTGTGAAACATTTATTATTTATGAATGTTTAGCCTCTGTAGGATAATCTAGGCCAGATTTGAGAAGTCTAGGTACAGTGGTTTTTGATCTGGACCTGGTCTAATGAGGTCTAAAACAAAAACGGTGAAATCTCCCCTTTAGCATTTTCACAAATAAAATAAATGTTTCACAAATACAATAGTGGGTGTCAGGCAAAGTTAATATCTTACCTAAAATGTCTAAAATGTTTTCACATCAAGAAGTGTCACAAAAAACACAATCAGTGGACAAACAGTGGCACTGCACGTTAAGTTAATTTCCCCTTAACTTTCTCCTTAAGTGCCGAATTGGAAGCTAACTTCAGCGTCGTTCAGAATGTTGGCTATATGTCAAAAAAGAACATGTAAAGAATTAAAATACAAGGTTGCAATAAAGGATTAAAATACAAAAACAGTATTGAACAAAATGAATAAAATTAAAATAAGATTCACATTAATAAAATACGCTTTTAGAGAAATTCAATAAAAGCAGTTTAGCAGCAGCCTGTTAATAATACTTCATCAAAAAGAGCAACAAAATGCACAATTTCATATAAAAATGTCTGAAAATGTGAAGTTGTGAAATACTGAAAGTCAGACAGAATATAACTATGAAAGGTAGTATTTATTTATTGCACATCACATCCCTGTTGGCCTTCATGTCCTTTATTCAAATAAAATCTGTAACAGTGCAAAGACATTTTTTCCCCAAATAAAGTCCCAAATTTACAATGTCATGTAAAAGTGGACGTATCTTTATCTAAATCTGTTTCCATACTAAAAGCAGAAATACTCATCATGCAGAGCGCCCTCTCTCAGAGTGCTAGAACTTGTTGATACACAAGACACATTTAATGTTGATGGTACAGATGATGCTACATCGATCTTGTTCAGCATGTAAAAGTCAATCAGCAAAGAACCTGTTAATGAAATAGGCTGTAGGTCAGAGTCAGTGAAATGTATTGGAATTAAAGTAGAAAGCAAAATATTAAAATACTGTCATCGAGTGTAAAAGTTAAAAAGCATAACTAGCTGAGATCATGTTCAAGTGTCTCCTTTAAATTATACTTAAGAGGTCAGTTTCAGTCTGTGTTCACAGAATTACTTGAGATTTTTGTTTGCTGTTTGTTTTGTGCGAGAATGTTTTTGTTGTTGTTGTTGTTTACTTTAACAAGTGGCATCAATTGTGTGTGATTTTTCTCCAGCTCCCCAGAATGAAACAAACAAGCTGCAGCTCTGTTCTGTGATGGAAACTTCAGGGCTTTTACTGTTAAACAAGTTGGAAGTTAAATCTTTGGCTTTTGAGTGTTCCAGTCTGAATTGCTTTTTTCCCACAGCACACGATGTCAGCAAACACACCCTCAGACATCCTGCAGGACATTCATGCACAACCACAGCTCCCTCTGCTGGAGTTTGTTGGTAGGTTTGCCAGGTTTCACAGTCCTCTACTCCTCTGGCAGTGTGACCGAGGGGCTGCACACACACCTCATTTCGTAACAACTGGTTAAAGAGGTCTTCATAATTAATCAGAAAATATAGAAAGTAGAAAATGAAAAGAGTAGTGCTGAATCAGATATCTAAATCACCCCGATCATTTTAATCTGTCAGACTGTAATTCGCACGTGTCTTTTTATCTTTGAGGTTGCTGACTTTTTGTGTGCAGGGGCCAGTGTTTTATCCCACCTCTCCTCACAGTCTCCTCTCCTGACTTGTTTTGGGATTCGTATGTGACAACTAGCAAAGAACCTGGGGACTGTTATTCAGGTAGGAACTACACACACTAAACACATAGTTTATACGCGCAACATCTAAACTCTTTTACACTCCTTCTTCCCTCAGGGTCACTCACATGCCCTGTCCCACTGCGTCACCATCAGCCACGTCATACTGTTTCACATTTCTAAAAACATGTCCCCAACTGGCTCAGTTTCCAGCGCCCCTAAAGAGTTTTTTGTCTTTGTAAGTCACTGCAGCTGGACCAAGTGCAGACTTTGAAGCTGCCTGTGAGTATCACACCATGGCATGCCACTGGCACACTTTTCACTGTCGCTGTATTTCTGTAGTGTCATTTCTGTTAAATCATTTTAACCAGCAACACATGAAAGGTTAAGGTCTCAGCTATAAATAAGTAACGGATAATGCCAGACAAAGGAATTAATGACCGATGTGGACGTGTGACCTGTGACCTGTCCGGCGCCTCCGCGAAAGCCATTCATTCCTTATAATGGACACCTCACAGGGCATTACCTGGATTATACCATGGTCACTGGCCAAAGGGAAAAAGTGAAGACTATTCATTTATATTTTCTGCGTTTTGCGTTTTGCCCCCAGCGAACCTCCTTACTTGTCAGCAGTGTGAGGAGGAATTGGCCATTTGCTGGTATTTTCTGTCTCTCCAGATTCCACAACACATCTTCTACTTATTCACAGATGGTTTCAGAGGGCTGCACGGTGGCATGTTGGCACAGTGGTTAGCACTGGAGCCGCACAGAGCAAGGACTGGTGATCAATTCTCTCCCTCTGTGTAGTTTGCATGTTCTCTCCAGGTACTCCGGTTTCCTCCCAAACACAAATAGGCACTAAATTCTAATCTAATAATTAATAAATAAAGATCAGTAAAAATAATTTCTGCTTGTTCTTTCATCCTTTTTTAAATCCTTAGTGCAGTTTACTTGATATGGGTTTGAAAGATGATAAAAAATATTCTTCGATTGTAAAAGCGTACGTTGTTGGTCCTGTAACAACTCCAACTGTTACGACTGGCCGTGCAAAATTCCCCAGTGTTTCCTCCTCCTGTGTTTTCAGTTCCTCCCTGTTTGTAGCTGTAGCTGTGTTACGAACATACTACTTCATCATAAAATTGCACCCTGAACCTCCTGCTCATACGTGGGTTTCCGTTGAGTTTAAACCAAACGCCGTTCTCCAAGCTCACCAGAGACGGAGGTCAACCGGGAGAGCTCTGCTGTTGTTACTTTGCAATATATGTACTCATAAATATATATTTATATATATATATATGTACTAGTCCATAGCCATTGGTAGCTTTGTCACCTTCTACCTATGCCAGTCCTCAATGCCTATGTGCAGTTTCACATAGATTGACCACGTCAGTGAGTAGAAAAACGTGGGACAGACAGAATGACTGACTGACAGTTTCCGTGATTATGTACAGCATACCATACCATGACTTAGTCATACCAAAAATTAGAAAAAAACACCAACAACATTGGTCCACAGGGGGAGCCACAGCAATCGGTCGCATTTTAGCCATTTTGAAGCATTTTTCCGTTGTTATAGCGCCACCCAGTTGCCAATTAGAGTTAAATTTCTCCAGTCACCTTGAGGCGTCCTGTTCTACATATCTACCAAGTTTAGTAAAAATCCATATGGCGGTTAGGCCTAGATAAGAAATGAGCTCTCTAGCGCCCCCATTTTGTTTGATGGGGTCAATAATGGAGGGGTCCCCTCAGATTATGTGTGGTCATATGCCTACAAAGTTGCGTGGTGATGGGTGAAACCCTTGAGATGTTATACACCTTTATGTGATGAGCCACGCCCTCCGCAATATTCATTGCCTTATAGAAGCTCAGTTTTAGTAAGTTTTCCAACTTTTGCCAAGAGGGAACTTTAGATATTGGTCCCTAGATTATGTTCACCCAGTTTCATGCAGATCGCTCAAACTTCCTAGGAAGAGATCCATTTGAAGTGTTTTTCAAAAAATTC